CTCTCTCCCCCTCCTTTTTTTTTTTTCTGTCTTTTCCCTCTGACATAGACACACTTTTTTTTTTTATACATAAGGGGTGTGTGTATGTATTTTCTTTTTTTTTTTTCATTGAAGAAAATGATGGTAATAGTGTTTTAAGTTAAGCAACCCTTATATAGACAGTTATCTTTAAAGTTTTTTTTTTTATTCAGAGAAAATTGTTTTGGTATCTCTATTTTTTTTTTTAAGTGTGGTTCACACGACCTCTTTCACCTTTTTTTTTTTTAATTTTGGCCCTGGAAGCTACCTACCTACTTTTTTTTTTTTTGGTACTCCTGGATGAGATGATGTCTGACCTAACCACCCTTGTGGACGGGTACCTAACCACCTACCGGGAAGGGTCTGCAGACCGCCTTGGGGGGACAGAGGTAGGTGCGGCTCCCTGTGACTGTGTTTTTCGGACTTCCGCCCCTGCTTTTTTTTTTTTGGAGGGCACAGTCATAACCCCTCTTCACTTTTTTTTTTTAGCACGAGGCTGACTTGGTAATAAATATTTTTTTTTTTTTTAGCTTGGGCTTCGTTCATCTCCTTGAGTACTTTTTCACAATATTAAGTTATATCCTGTCAAAGAATGGTTTTTTTTTTTATTTCTTTTTTCTTTTTTTTTTTTAAGATTTTTTTTTTTTGTTTGACAGAGAGAGAGAGAGAGCACAAGTTTTTTTTTTTGCAGGCAGAGGGAGAGGGAGAAGCAGGCTTTTTTTTTTTTAGGGAGCCCGATGTGGGTCTTGATCCCAGAACCCTGGGATCATGACCCGAGTCGAAGGCAGATGCTTAACGACTGAGCCACCCAGGCGCCCTAAATTTAAGATTTCATTTTTTTTTTTTTAGAAGCCAGCATAGTGTAACAGAACTATAGACTTGGAGTTGGCAAAATATTGCCTTAAGGCCACATCTGTTTTTTTTTTTGCTTTTGTACAGCTCACAAGGTAAGAATGTTTTTTTTTTTTTTAAAGGATTTTTTTTTAACAAAAAGTATGCAACAGAGATCACTTGTGGTTAAAATAGTTACTATTTGGCCCCTTATATAAAAGGTTGCCATCTGGGGCAACCTGGAGTTTTTTTTTTTAGTCCCACATCAGGCTCCTTGCTCAGCAGTTTTTTTTTTTCTCCCTCTGACCCTCTTCCGTCTCGTGCTTTTTTTTTTTTATTCTCTCTCTCTCTCAAATAAATAAAATTTTTTTTTTTTAAAAAAAGGTTGCCATCTGGGGGCACCTGTTTTTTTTTTTCAGTGGAGCATGTGACTCTTGGTCTTAGGTTTTTTTTTTTGAGCCCCATGTTGGGTGTAGAGATTGCTTTTTTTTTTTTTCGTTTAAAAAAAAAAAAAAGGTTGCAGTCTTTTTTTTTTTCTGTTATTAGCCATTCTTAGGACTAATGATTTTTTTTTTTAAATAAAATAATAGCATTTTTTATACGATTTTTTTTTTTTTGTATTATACTTTTCTTTTAATGTGTTCCTTTTTTTTTTTTGCAAGCATGGTACAGTGTTAGGAAATTCTCCATTTTCCTAGAACAAAGAAAGTCTTATTATCTCATATTTTTTTTTTTTAATGTAACCTTTCTGTACTTTGCTCTCACTGTTTAGCAAAAAAAGAGCAACATAAAAATCCTTGCATACTTTTTTTTTTTGGAGAATTTAAATGTCTTTCATTTATCATTTTTTTTTTTTGGAGTTTTATAACTTTTTGTATTTTGTTCTTTTTTTTTTTTGCTGAAAAAAATGTGATAATATCCTATATTTTTTTTTTTTTAAAATTGGAATACATGATAAAACATATTTTTTTTTTTTAGTCTACATAAAGTTTGATTGGAAGCACTTTTTTTTTTTTCATTAGTATCAAGAAAATACAAAAATTGTTTTTTTTTTTTCCACTTTAACATTTTTTGAAGCTATTAGCTTTTTTTTTTTTTTTTTAAGATTTTATTTATTTATTTATTTTTTTTTTTTTGAGAGCACAAGCAGAGCGAGTGGCAGGTAGAGGGAGAAGCAGGCTCCCCACTGAGCAGGGATCCCTATGTTTTTTTTTTTCCCAGAACCCTGGGATCATGACCTGAGCTTTTTTTTTTTTCTTAACTGACTAAGCCACCCAGGCGTCCTTTTTTTTTTTTTTGAAGGAAAAAAAAGGCAAACTATAAAATTTTTTTTTTTGGAATCAAAATTATGACTTGCCTATGATATTTTTTTTTTTTGTAGAAAATAAATGGGAAAAGATTACTATTTTTTTTTTTACAATTTAGTAAAATGGGTACAAATATAATTTTTTTTTTTATAGTTTTCTTGCATCCATATACACAGCCAGAAAATATAATGGAAGAAAACATCCATTTATAATTGTAATTTTTTTTTTTATTACCTAGAAATAAATCTTACAAGAAATTTTTTTTTTTTAGAAAACATTAAAATATTACTGAATGGTATAAAAGGAGACTTAAATGAATGGGGACACTAAGCATTTTTAACTATACATTACTCCTAAATTTACTTTTGAATTTACCTCTTTTTTTTTTTAAATACTAACACCAGCATTATTTTGGCAATTTTTTTTTTTAGTGTTTATAAAGATAAATATATATAAATTTTTTTTTTTTTGTCAGATATTAAGTCATATAAGTGGTCATTTTTTTTTTTCCTGGATGGCTCAGTTGGTAGATCATGAATCTCTTGACCTCAGGGTTGTAAGTTTGAGGCCCATGTTGGGTGCAGAGATTAGTTAAAAAAAAAACCCCAACAGTTTGTGACTGGTACATGTGTAGGCACATCAGTGGAACATAGTAGAGGAACCCAGCAAAAGATCCAATATATAGGGGTGCCTGGGTGTTTTTTTTTTTTAACGTCTGCCTTCGGCTCAGGGCATGATTTTTTTTTTTTGGGATCGAGCCCTGCATCCGGCTCCCTGCTTTTTTTTTTTCCTGCTTCTCCCTCTCCTGCTCCCCCTGCTTTTTTTTTTTCTCTCTCTCTCTGTGTCTTTCTCTGTCAATTTTTTTTTTTAAATCTTAAAAAAAAAAAAAAGATCCAATTTTTTTTTTTTAGTATGGGGGCACCTGGGTGGCTCAGTCATTTTTTTTTTTGCCTTCGGCTCAGGTCATGATCCCAGGGTTTTTTTTTTTTGCACTGGGCTTCCTGCTCAGCAGGGAGTCTGCTTCTCCCTCTCCCTTTGCCTGCCGCTCCCCCTGCTTGTTTTTTTTTTTGCCATCTCTCTCTCAAATAAATGAATAAATTTTTTTTTTTAAAATATCTGCCAATATCATTGGGATAAAGGTAGAATTTCCAATTAATGAGAAAAAGATAATCAATAAATGACTATAGGTAATTGGCTAACCATTGTACGGGAGGAGAGTTTTTTTTTTTAAATAAATTCCTCGGATCAAGTATTTATGTTTTTTTTTTTATTATAAAATTATTAGAAAAAACAATTAATTTTTTTTTTTTTCACAGTAAGGAATGCTTTTCTTCCCAATTTTTTTTTTTCATTGAAGAATAATTGACAAAATTAATTGTTTTTTTTTTTTACATTGTGATGATTTGATATACATATACTTTTTTTTTTTATTATCAAGACTAAGATAATACAAAAAAATTTTTTTTTTTGATAATACATGTATCCATCATCTCACATAATTAACTCTGTGTGTGTGGTGAAAATGCTGAAGATTTGTTCTTAGCAACCTTCAAGTATACAATACTAAATTATTATAGTTTTTTTTTTTTACATTCAATCCTCAGAATTTATTTATTTTTTTTTTTTTTTTTTTCTTGTAATTGAAAGTTTGTACCCTTTTTTTTTTTTTTCCCCCTTTTCCCTCCCGCTAGCCGCTGGCAACCTCCATTCTATACTGTTTGTATGAAATCAGCTTTTTTTTTTTTTTTTAGATTCCACATATAAGTGATGCCATATAGTATTTGTCTTTCTCTGTCTGGTTTATTTCACTTAGCAAAATTTTTTTTTTTTGCATACATGTCACAAATGGCAGGATTTTTTTTTTTTTTTTGGCTAAATATTCCGTTGTGGGTATATGTTTTTTTTTTTTTGTGTGAGATCTCTCTCTCTCTCTTTCTATTTTTTTTTTTTTTTATCCATTCATCCATTGATGTAAACAGGTTGTTTCCATATGTTGGCTATTGTGAGTAATGCTACAGTGTAAAGGGAGTGCAGACATCTCTCAAAGGTAGTGATTTCATTTCTTTGTATACACACCCAGATGTGGAATTGCTGGACTTTTTTTTTTTTCTATTTTTAATTTTTTGAGGAACTTCCATTTTTTTTTTTTTAGTAGCTGTACCAATTTCTATTCCCGCCAACCATGAGTAAGGGTTCCCTTTTCTCCACATTCTTGCCATTTTTTTTTTTATAGCCATCCAAACATGTGTGAAGTGATATTTTTTTTTTTTTGGGGTTTGCATTTACCTGATGATTAGTTTTTTTTTTTTCCTTTTCATATACCTATTGACCATTTTAATTTTTTTTTTTGAAAAATGTCTATTCAGGTCCTTTGCTCATTTTTTTTTTTGATGACCATTTGCTTTTTTGCTATGGAGTTTTTTTTTTTTATGCCTTTCTATGCAATGCAGAAATACTCTGAACTCATAAAGGATTAATAAATTTGACTTAACATTTTTTTTTTTTTTTTCAAAAGGCAAGCAACCTGGGAAAAATTATTTTTTTTTTTTAACAAAGAGGACATTTTCTTAATATATTCTTTTTTTTTTTATTTATGTAATGACAGAATACTGGAAACATTTTTTTTTTTATCCATATGGATTTAGTTAAATAAATTATTTTTTTTTTTTTCAGCCCTTAAAAATGCTAACAGGGAAAATTTTTTTTTTTATTTTTTAGTTTAAAAAATCAAGATGCAGTTTTTTTTTTTATACTATGTTACCATTTGTGTAAAAGAATTTTTTTTTTTTGTTATCAAAATAAAAGGTTGGGGGAAACTTTTTTTTTTTTATGCAATGCAATGAAAAGATAAACACTGATTTTTTTTTTTATATACACAAACATGATTACAGATGCATATTTTTTTTTTTGGAGGCTACGTACGAAACTGCTTTCTAGAAGATGCACTCGCTGAGGCAACTGGGAACAGGTTGGAAGGGTTTTTTTTTTTTTCACTGTTAATCTTTACACATACTTACGTTTTTTTTTTTACACACACACACACACACTGTGGATTCAATTTTTTTTTTTTAATCAAAAATAGGCCTACTATAGTTGAATTTTTTTTTTTGAGCCATAAGAACACATTTGAATTGATCCTTTTTTTTTTTAATACTGTTAAGTATAGCAGAAGTGATTTTTTTTTTTTTTTTGGAAGTTTAGTTATAGACTTATTTTCCCGTTCTTTTCTTAGCCTACATGTATGGAGCTTCCAGAAGATTTTTTTTTTTTCAAGGACTTCCAGAAGCAGCGCAGAGAGTTTTTTTTTTTAGAATATAGGGTGAACGCACGGGGCCTCCTTTTTTTTTTTGTGCTACATCCAAAGAAATCAGTGACAGATTTTTTTTTTTAAGTAGGGGTTTCCTTACTTTGTAAAAACTTTTTTTTTTTTGAAACTCCAAGTTTTACATCTCATCAGGTTTTTTTTTTTCTGAAAGAGGAATCTAAAAATAAACAAACTCCGACAGAACCTCAACATCTACCTCCCATGAAGGAAGAATTTTTTTTTTTTTGTATCAACAAACTCATTTGCTCTGAGTTTTTTTTTTTTAGACAGGAGTTTCAGACAAATTTATCTTTTTTTTTTTTTTTAGAACAGTTACTGATGGTGGAAAACAAGGAAGATCTAAAATGCACAAAGCAAGATGTTTCAGTGTCTCTTTCCCTTCCTCAGGAAACCGGAGTGTCTCCAAGTGACACCTTTCATCCTCTTAGAAAAGCTGTGCTTCCCACACTTCCTTTTTTTTTTTTCTTGGAGAAAACAGATTCTTGGATAAATCTTTTTTTTTTTTTATCTTAGAGATGCACTACTTATTCTTGTTTTTTTTTTTGTGGCTCATTTCCTCTACCAATAAGGCCTTCCTCAGTGCTTAAGTTTGTCATGTTGTAAATTTAGTTTTTTTTTTTTTTTAAAGAAAGGAAGGCTTCAGCAAAAATTATTTTTTTTTTTTTACTCCTACATGCCTAGAATTTTATTAGATTTTTTTTTTTAAGTTAAATGGAAGAAGTAAATGTTTTGATTTTTTTTTTTTGCAAAAATGTTCCCAGTGGTCAGAGTGATTTTTTTTTTTTAATTTGCGTTTAGAGGATTTGAGGAGGGTTTTTTTTTTTGCCTTAGTATCTGGAAGAATCTATACTTTTTTTTTTTTTTTTTTTTTTTTTTAATGTAAGCTCTATGCCTTTTTTTTTTTTCGAACTCACAATCCCAAGTTCAAGAGTTTTTTTTTTTTTCAACTGAGCCAGCCAGGTGCCCCTACTTTTTTTTTTTTTTTTTTTTTTTTTTTTAATGTAAGCTCTATGTTTTTTTTTTTGCTCGAACTCACAATCCCAAGTTCAAGAGTTTTTTTTTTTACCAACTGAGCCAGCCAGGTGCCCCTACTTTTTTTTTTTTGTTGTATTTTTTGGTTTGAAAGGGATTGGTTTTTTTTTTTAGGGTAGGTTTAAAAAAATTGTCACCTGATAACTACCAGTACTTTTTTTCTTTTTTTAAAATACTAACTTTTTTTTTTTTATTATATATCAAAAAAGCTGAAAAAATACTTTTTTTTTTTTTGAATTTTAATGTTTTGTCTGTCTTATGTTTTTTTTTTTCACTAGTTAATGTTACTACAGGAATCAATTTTTTTTTTTTAATTTCTTTTGATTCCATTTACTTTTAGATTTTTTTTTTTTTTTTGTAACAAAGCAGGGACTTCTTTTGTTTTTTTTTTTTATGTAAACTTGAAGTTTGATTCCCCTCTTTTTTTTTTTTGTTGGCATACTTTCTTTGGTTTTTTTATTTTTTTTTTTTTTTTTTAATTTTATGTAGGCTCCACATCCATTTTTTTTTTTGAACCTATGACCCTGAGATCAAGAGTCGCTTTTTTTTTTTATGGAACCAGCCGGGTGCCCCAGTTTGGTTTTTTTTTTTTGGGTGAAAGGAAGGCAACTTGTACTAAGCTTTTTTTTTTTTGAATACTTGCAAGTTGCTCACATTCTTTTGTGTACAATAACCAATAAACCTGTTGTACCACTGGATTATTTTTTTTTTTCATTAGGTCACAGTAGGAATAAGTTGGAATTTTTTTTTTTTTCTAGGTCTAGAGTCCAGTCTAAAAATCTATAAGTTGACTCTCATACAGGTCTCTATTATTTATTGTATTTTTTTTTTTCTTTGGGACTACCTACAATTAGGAACATCCTTATCTGCACTAGCTGATTCTGAGTGCACTGAAAAAATATTTTTTTTTTTCCAAACTCCAGGATGCAGATCTAATCTAATTTTTTTTTTTAGGCAGGTCCCAAGAGCAGTCAGCTCATTTTTTTTTTTTTGGTGTCTCACTTTGTCCTTAGTTTAGAAGTTTTTTTTTTTCCAAGGTAGTTTGTGGTTCATCTTGGGTGTTTTTTTTTTTAGGTTGGGCCCAGAATGTGGTTAATCCAGTTTTTTTTTTTAAGGGGCATGAATTCTTGTGAAATTCCTAGAGTTGATTTAACTTCCTATGGAACCATTAAATTATCATATTTTTTTTTTTTACATAAAGGCTACAAAGAAAAAATATTCTTTTTTTTTTTAAAAGGAATTCTTGTTTCATTAGGTATGTTTTTTTTTTTTTGAGAAGAACCAGGGTGCTGGGTGGCTCATTTTTTTTTTTAACTGACTCTTGATATCAGCTCAGGTCTTGATCTCACAGTTGTGAGTTCAAGCCCCACATTGGGCTCCACGCTGGGCATGGAGCCTACTTAAAAAACAACAAAAACAACTTTTTTTTTTTAGAAAAACCACTGGAATGTGTTAGGCCTTTTTTTTTTTTTTCAATATGGTAGCCACTAGTCATATGTGTTTTTTTTTTTTTTTAAAATTTAATTAAAATTAGAAATTCATTTTTTTTTTTGCACTTGCCATATTTCCAGTACTCAATAGTTTTTTTTTTTTAGAGGCTATATAGTATTGAATGTCACAGTTTTTTTTTTTTTCTACTGTTTGAGAAAGTTCTTTTGGACAGTGCCAGTTGAGAGGTATTTTGACTCCTAGAACTAAATGTTTTTTTTTTTTTTCTTCACAGTATTTTCTCAGTGAAACATTTTTTTTTTTGGGCTCCATATCCTCATTCTAGCCTGGAGTTTTTTTTTTTACCCCGTGTATGCACCCAGCTCCTAACATTTTTTTTTTTTTTAGCTAGAGTGAAAAATTCGTGCATTGTTTTTTTTTTTTTGCTGGTACTCTCTGTGATTATGCAGACTTTTTTTTTTTTTTTTGCCCAGAATTTTGGGAAATCCTAGGTTTTTTTTTTTATCCACCACTGAGTTCTTTTTTTTTTTTTTTTTTTTTTTTTATTTATTTGAGAGAGAGAGAATGAGAGATTTTTTTTTTTAGAGGGGGGAGGGTCAGAGAGAAAAGCAGTTTTTTTTTTTAGCGGGGAGCCCGATGCGGGACTCGATCCTTTTTTTTTTTGATCATGACCTGAGCCGAAGGCAGTCGCTTTTTTTTTTTTGCCACCCAGGCGCCCTCTTTTTTTTTTTTTTTTTTTTTTTTTATTTGAGAGAGAGAGAGAGAGTGAGAATTTTTTTTTTTGGGGAGAGGGTCAGAGGGAGAAGCAGGTTTTTTTTTTTTTTGGGAGCCAGATGTGGGACTCGATCCCGGTTTTTTTTTTTCATGACCTGAGCCAAAGGCAGTCGCTTAATTTTTTTTTTTACCCAGGCGCCCCACACCACTGAGTTCTATTTTTTTTTTTTTCTAGTTGAGAGTTAATAAACCACACTATTTTTTTTTTTAAGCTCTTGGGGTCTAGTTTCAGTCTACATTTTTTTTTTTCATCTCTTCTACTCCGGTCTGACTTTTCTGATATCACCTTTATGTACATGACCTACAATTAGAGCTTCTTTTTTTTTTTTACCCTTTTACTTTGGGAATTAGGAAATGGTTTTTTTTTTTTTCCTTGGGCAAAAATGCAGAGAATAGAATTTTTTTTTTTTTTTGGTCCATTCAATGTTCTTTCAACTTTTTTTTTTTTTGTCACTGCAGCAGCTTTGCCTCCAATCTAGCTGTGGGCTTGATAAATCCTAACATGACACAATAGAATTTTTTTTTTTTTCAGACCTTTCTTTGTTTTGACACAAGGCATTTTTTTTTTTTAAGCTGAGATGAGGCCTGGGTCAAAGTATTTTTTTTTTTGGTGATTAGTGAGGTGTACTTATCATAAATTTTTTTTTTTTAATAGTAACACAAATAAATACCTTACAGTTTTTTTTTTTAATAAAGAGAAAAAAATAACTATCATCCCTTTTTTTTTTTCCCTTCCTAGTATTTTGGCATTTTTCTTTTTTTTTTTTTTCATTTTCTCTCTCTCTCTCCCTCTCTCCCTTTTTTTTTTTCCCTCTCTCTTGTCTTCTCTCTGTGCTCCTTTTTTTTTTTGAAACAGTCATATCATAACATAAATACACTTTTTTTTTTTTTTATATCATGTATTTTTCCATTTCCTTATTTTTTTTTTTAACAGTAGGTGTTTAATTTTAGAATTTAATTTTTTTTTTTTAGGTGTTTAATTTTAAAATTTATATACTTTTTTTTTTTTTTTACAAAATACAGGAAAATAAAAAATTTTTTTTTTTTTTTCTAACTCAACAGGAAAAGGTAACATTTTTTTTTTTTTTTGTGTTTATGCATAGGTTCCCCCATATCATTTTTTTTTTTTATATGTGAATATATTCTACCCTATGAGTGTTTTTTTTTTTTGTTGCACAACCTTTGTTAAGATTTTCAATTTTTTTTTTTCCTGGGTGGCTCAGTCGTTAAGTGTCTGCTTTTTTTTTTTGTCATGATCCCAGGGTCTTGGGATCGAGCTTTTTTTTTTTCTCCCTGCTCGGCGGGAAGCCTGCTTCTCTTTTTTTTTTTCCCCCTGCTTGTGTTCCCTCTCTCGCTGTTTTTTTTTTTTGAAAAATAAATTAAAAAATCTTAAAAAAATTTTTTTTTTTCAATGACTGCATAATATTTCTTTAAAAAATTTTTTTTTTTTTTAGAGAGTGAGCTCGAGTGGGGAGAGGTTTTTTTTTTTAGAGAGAATCTCCAGCAGACTCCCCATTATTTTTTTTTTTGGGGCTCGATCCCAGGACCCTGAGATCATGACCTGAGCCAAAACCAAGAGCTGGACACTTAACTAATTGAGCCACCCAGGCACCCGATTTCTAAGAGAATGCTGTATGGTTTATTTAACTATATTGTGGTACATTCAGCTTATTTCCATTTTTTTTTTTTATGCTTTTTCAAAGCTACCTCAAACCTTTTTTTTTTTTTTGAATCATTCTGTTAGAATGAAATTGCAGATTTTTTTTTTTCAGGTCATAGAGGTTTTCTTGTTTTTGTTTTTTTTTTTTTATTTTTTAAAGCTCTTGCTAAGTTACTTTCCAGAAGTGTTAACCAATTATATTGCCACCTCCAATTTTTTTTTTTTTTTTGTACCATTGAGAGCATTAGATTTTTTTCTTTTTTTTTTTTGCATACTTTTGACTTTCAAAATTCTAACTTTTTTTTTTTTACATCTGAAAGATTTCCTGTCATATTTTATTTTTTTTTTTCATTGGATATTATGAAGATTAATGAGAACTTTTTTTTTTTGGACATTTGAAACCCAATAAATGTCCCCGTTTTTTTTTTTAGGACAACATTATAGGTAAAATATTTAAATTTTTTTTTTTCTAAAATAAAATGAAAGTCTATATACTCATTTTTTTTTTTATCTTGGAAATGTCTTCAGAGCTCTCTTTTTTTTTTTTTTGGAAAGTGATGTTTACCGTATT